AAAAAAAAAAAAAAAAAAAAAAAAAAAAAAAAAAAAAAAAAAAAAAAAAAAAAAAAAAAAAAAAAAAAAAAAAAAAAAAAAAAAAAAAAAAAAAAAAAGGCAGATAAATCCAGGATGCTTTCTGAAAACCTCACCAAAGGTTAGTTCAATGTCAATCAATTTCCTCCTGCCCAAATGATTACAAGGTGACTATTTTCTACAATGGTTCTGTAAGCAAATGAAGCACGTTCAAAGTTTACAAGGAGTACAAGAAGTGAGTGGAAGCCATGCAGCTTGACAAAGGAAATGTAAGCTGCAAAGTGCAGGCAAGAAAAAAATGTCTGTGAGGCATCATTTAGAGTAGTTTTCTCAACCTTGGCAACTTTAAAGCTTGTGGATTTCAGTGCGGAGAATTATCCCTGCTAGCTTGCTGGCTGGGAATTCTGGAAGCTAAAATCCACACAGCTTAGTTGCTAAGGCTGAGAAATAGTGATTTAGAGTTTTAAAGAACGAAGAGTGCTATACAAGGAACAAATACCCCTTTTGCCTTATAACAATGCACCAGAGACTGTTTTGAGCATGAAATGTCTATCTTTGAAGGCTATTGTAGGGCATTAGCTATCCAAATGCATAATCTTGCACATGTAAAAGTGTATTTTATTTTAAAATTATATTGTTGGAAAAGAAACATAGCCAAGGAAAACAAATTCATATAACTCAAGCTAACAAACCAGTCAAACAGAACAGAAATACAGCAGGGACAGGTACATCGAGTGAGAAATGAACGTAAGGAATTTGCTGAATAGATTTAGCTTGACACTTAAAAACCATCACATTTAGAAAGGAATAAAGTAGAACTTCACTGTCATTGAACACATATATCTTCCAAAGAACAATACACCAGAAAAAAAGGGGAACTTCAAAGATATCTGATTTTGCTGATACCCTTCTGATAGACATCTTGCCTCAGAGTTAATACTGATATGGCCTGGCCTAGCAGATGTATCTGCACCCCTGGGCATCATTCATTACCAAGGGAAAAGAGAGGAAAGATTCCACAAAGGAGCTGTCTTCTATCTTCCACAGGGCCAGCTCTGGGACTCTACTGAAATCAGCAAGATGCAGAATTCTCTAAATGTTGTTCCTTTCTTTGGATTTTTCATGTCTGCCATCCTAGATAGAAATGAGAGGGGGGGAAAGAGCAGAACTCTTTCATTAACATGGCTTTGGAGCTGATAGTATGAAGCCCCTTACCCAGTGCACTTCTCTGCAGAGAAATAACTCTTTCTTGAAGCGATATCTTACCTACTCCGACACTTTTCCCAAGAAGAAACTGCAAATCTGTCTGTCAAAAGAGGTGCTGAGTTAGGAGCACAGGCAAGCATTGACTCCATGCCACTTCAGCCACATGCCTGTTCCCCCTTTGAAACAAGTGTGTGGATAGTATAAAGCTGGCTGTGAGAGCAGACAGTTAAGCTGCTCCCAATAGGAGCTGCTTCAAAACATTTGTGACACTTTGAAATGGCTTTTGAATTAATTAATTTCTGTGAAAGGAGGAAGGTTAGTCTCAGCACCACAATATCATCCAGCCTATAGTAGCAGATACATAGAGGCTCCTATACTCTAGTCTAAACAATCATCAGTGTAAGATATAGCTTATTGTTGCCAAGATTCAATCAAATTCTTGATCATATCCCAAGCATTTCCCCTTTATGAAACAGTATCCTTTTATTGGCCACTACACACAAGTATATATCTTTTGTTTTATCACTGTGTCCAACCACAGAGCTCCTTACAAGTAATATTCCTGCAGAACAATTTAACTCAGCATTCTTTACGACATTCTACCTGCCTACATGGAAGGAGGGAGTTTTAAGAAACATTCTATTGGGAAACGCCCAGCCTCAGTCTGAAACGGTGCGGCCCAGTCACAAATTGTGACTTTAGTCGGTATTTATCTAAAGAATAGTCAGAAGTTAATAATTGTTAATACAAATATATTATCATAAGTCCTTAATGTTACTAACATTTGCTACCTCTCAATTCAACAATTCAACATGAAATCAGCACATAAAACATCTGAATTTAATTTACAGTATCTTTAATTGGGTAACAAATCATAAAAAATTAAGCCAAGAAACCAAAAATAATAGTTATTCCCATTTTATATAAAAGGTCTTAGGAATTTATTTCAAACTGTGCTCCCAAAATAAAGAAACAGGGTTTCTGCAGAAGTATAGATTCTTGTCCACATTTTAAAAAGGGGAATGCTTTATCTTCACACATTTTGTAGCAATATGTTTTAACTATTAATGTTGTGCTGATATAGCAATAGGCCCTTACATATTTTCAGATGTGACTACTAAATAAATATAAAACTACTAAACATACTAAATAAAGATAAAACACAAAAATGTGAAGTTTTTACCAGAACAATTAAACAGTACATTCATTTATACATAGCACAAAAAGTTTGTTCAGATTTATTGTGAGGTTATTTCTCAAATAGTGAAGCTGCAATTAAAAAGATGGATTTTAAATACGTTTTTAGTTTAGTCACACAGGATCTAGACATCAATCTTGATTTTAACTTCTAAGTTTATCTGTGAAAGTCTTCATAGATGTTAACAGGAACCCTATTTACAATGTGTAATAAGAAATTAGAGCTTGCAACATATCAATTGGGTGAAGAGATCGGCACTCTCGTTACTAAAGGACATTCTTCCAGTGGGAGCAGGTACAATAGTAAACTAAGACGAGACGGGGGGGAAATAACAGACCTCAGGAGGGGGTGGCTTGATAGTGACTGGCTGGGAGGCTCTTCGGGGTGGAGAAGGTTTGGGCTGCACTTGCTGCTGAACTGTGTTGTAGTAGGTGACCCCTCCATACACCTGAGACTGGGTCTGCCAGTCCAAAAGGAAAGAAAGAAAAATTATTGGTTTATTCCAAAATACTATTATACATGTATATTTAATTCACTGAAATTCAAAACATAAGACATGTTAGTTGGCTTAGAAACTCACTGAGTTAAAAAGACAGCAATATCTAATATATTGTGAAATTATAAAATATCAACATTATATATTAAAAAACCTTTTGAACTGCCTACTGAAATACAAGCCTTTTATTAAAGCTTGCATAGGAAGATTTTCTCAAGAATAGTCTATTCTAAGAAACAATGCATTTCATTCTTTGGTAGCTATCTGGATTGTTGTATTATTTCCTTTCTGCCTTATTGTAATCTACCAGGTTTAACTGTTGTTCGTCTCTATACAATGAATGTTTATTTTATATCTTCATCACTACTCTGGTTAAGTCCAAAGGCAAATGAATTAGATATCTCACTGAGATAATAAGGTGATCTACTTTTCAGCTTAGATAGAAAATCGGTGCATTTAATAATCACTTCAGAATTATCAATTACACATCAAGTAATATTGCTTAAAATTAAGAAATCTACTGTATCAAGTTTTCATTACTTCAATATAACCATAACTTCTGGAAGGGATTGTCTTTGAGTCAGTGCTGACTCCTGGTGACTGCCTAGACCAATCTCTAGTTTTCTTGGCAAGAAATTTGGGAGTGGTTTGTCACTACCTTCTTCCTAAGGTTGAGAAGGAGTTATTAGGCCAAGGTCACCCAGATGGCTTCACAGTCTCCCAGTTTGTAATTTGGACTTTAACAACTATATCCTGCTTGCTCCCCATGCTTGCTTGTTCCCCATATGCAACATGTCAGAGCATGCACAGTCTTATTGCACTGAGATAACCCAAGAGTAAATACAGTAAACAGTGGTCTATATTAAATGGTGGTTTATATTACACTATCTACAAATATCACCAGGAACAAAATACATACATGTGTGATAATTCAGCAAACTCCAATACACAGCAATTACAGCAGGAAACGGACAAGAGAGAAAGACTCCAGCAAAGCCTTCCCTTTTATACTCAGGCTCTTAAAGGGATACACATACACCTGCTGAGTCATTCCTATGATTGCATCATCCACCTTACATTACATTATTACATAAGCTGTTTAGCCTTTAAATTATTATCCTGACACAATATATATTATTCTGTTTGTCTAATGACTGAATGATCGTCATTAAATTATATTTCTAAGAAGCAAGCCAAAATTAATCTGCACCCCCCGAGTCCTTTTGGGGGTAGACGGGTAACTGTACAACTTTGATTAATTGATAAATAAATGAATAATCACTTATTTTGTAATTACTTGTTAAAGTATGTATACTGCCATTTATCACTAAATTTCAGCAATTTTTAATTTATATTTATTAAACATTTTCATATAACAAATGGAAAGCAAAAATTAAAGAAAAAGAAAGTTATAGTTAAGAATTACATAAACAACTTTCAACCATCTTCTCAAAAGATCAATTATAATTATATATTTTACAAATCCTCTTAAATATTTTACAAATCCTCTCAGCTCTCTCCTTTAATCTGCATCTTTTTTAATCTTCAAATCCATAAATCATCAATTAATGTTTTTCTTCTTTCAGCAAAAAGTCCAAAAAATGGCATTTAAAAGCAAAACATAAGCAGACTTACTTGAGTGTTTGGATACAGGTGGGGAGGTGGGGGAGGTGGAAGTGCTCCTGGAGGGTAGGGGTAACTGGGATTGCCAAAATTCATTACTCCAGGAGGGGGAAAGTAGGTTGGTGCTAACAGCTGTTGTGGTGGTGGTGGTGGTGGTGGTGGCTGCTGCCCAGGAGGCATGGAGACAGGAGGAGGATATAAGCCAGCATTAGCCAGAGGTGCAGGTGCCTGATGTGGATGCAATCCTGGCAAAGACAGATAAAGTAGTCAAACAATTCTGAAATCAAAATGCTATCAGGAAGCAAAGATGAAATAAATAACATTTTAATATATCTGATCAACTAAAAGAATAACTGACCCATCTGGCTGCTAAGGAGAATAAGTCACTGGAACGTACGTCTACAATATGCCACATGTATCCCTGTTCTTTGCTTGCAGAAATTGATTTTCAAAGGTTAATCTACTTAACAGAAGGATCAGAAAATCTCCCCCCCTCATCCTGTATAAATTTTAAAATTCTTTCTTCTTGTGTAATTATTTATTTCATTAGATTTAGACACTGCCTGACTACAAAACATCTCTGGACAAGGAACAAAATAAAATTACAATAAATTAGAAATAACCAAGACAATATCAGAGTCAATACAGAATACGTACAAAAAAAACCCATCCAAAAGAACCCCATCCACCCTAACCCAAAATAGCCAGATTGTGAACATTTTCTGGAATATCATCAGGGTGAGAGCTACATGGATTTCAGAGGAATTTCATCCCAGGAGGCAAGACCTGCTTCCTGGTTTCATTTTTTATTTAATCAAAGGGACCTGGTGCAAGCCAACATGCCAGTTCATTACATTTTAAGAAGTCATCCAAGGGGGAAAAAGTAAAGTTTTAAAAATATCAGGTAGACATAGTAAAAGTCAGTGTCTTTCCTTGCCAGTGGTAGGACCTGAAGTAGGTAAGGATGCTCCTCTCTCCAAAACAGAAAGGTAAAAATGTAAACTATGCATCAAATATCTAAGAAACCAGTGATTCTGAATGTTCTCCTTTTCCAAAAGATCAAATATATTACAAAAAAACAAAGCCCTTTATCTTCAACTTTAAGGTCCCAATAAATCCAATCTCAAGTTACAAGTTTCATTTTCCTTCAGTTAAAATCATCCCAGCTTGCAAAACTCATATTGGATTTTATTGCTTAGAGAGAATGTTAATAAAATCCACCAACCCCCATCTTTTGTTTCCGGACATATCTGAATTCCCAAAACTCAGTTTTGGAGCTTTATCTTTTAGATACTTATAACATTTTTTGCAATATAGCAAAATGGTACAATGGAATACAAAGTTTCCCTATGGCACTTGCAATGTATAAATACCAGTAAGTAGAGCCTTATAGTAGCGCCAAAAAGTTTTGTCACTCCAGAGAAGGAAAGAAAAAAGTGCATCTACTTCCCATTTTCCTCTATTTTCTTAGAGAATTCACATATATTATTAATAGGTAGAGAAATTAATATTTTCTTCAATGCAGAAGAGCAACTATGTACTAAAAATGATAAACTATCTCACTTTGTTATTGTTAATAGCAAACAATGTATGTGTTGAAATGTATCTCAACAGATATAAGTGATACACTGCAGGAATTTGGGGATATTTCTAACAAATTAGTAAAACTGAAGTACAAAGGAAATGTTAGAGAAAAATGAAAGAGAGAATAGCAATGTAAAGTCAGTCCCTACCTGGATGTGAAAGATGCATTTCTGGTTGAACAATCACCCCTTGAGGAGGAAGTGGAGTAGGATTTTCACCATGTGTATAAATTGGACCTTGGAACTGTACTGTAAGGACAAACCATTAGACATTATCTTTCTAATACTGATAGAAGTAATTATTGTTTTGAAATTGAAATAAAAAGAAGGCTCAGTTGCCATATAACATATAATTCTTAAGGCTCAGTTGCCATATAACATATAATTCTTAAACAATTCAGTACATTCATAACTAGAGCAGCAAACTGGGTTCAAGTCAACAATGGATCAGTTACTATTTCTCAGGGCTACTGTAAATTAAAGATAGTCCTCAGATGACGATGGCATCTAGGACCAAAATTTCCATCATAAGCAATGCAGTCATACAATTAGCAATGGCATTCCCATCCATCCTTGTTGCTATTGTTTAGTGAGGATTATTTGAGTTGTTAAGCAAGGACCACTGGGCAGAGATGGGAATCCAGGGAAGCAGATTAGCAAGCAAAAACTATGTAGTATGAGTAAGCAGACGGGTCTCATTGGTAGGTGCTATGGATACAGGCAAGTGAGAGAGTATCACAGGTGGGTGCTCTTGAGTGCAGCCAGGAGGGTGTCGTAGGTGATGCTATGGAGAACAGGCAAGCAAATGAATGCTACAGGTGGGTGCTATGAGGTGCAGGCAGGTGGCACTTTGGAGCAGGTGGGCAAAAAAAAGCAGCAAAAGTGAGAGTAACTTGCGGAAATGACTTGTGACCTCCTGCTGGCTTCTCTATTCACTATGCTTATGGAAAGCTAATAAGGTTGCAAATGGTTATCACGTGAATGTAGAACACTATACATTTTAATTGCATGTCAGTTTACAAAGCAACCGAATTGCATTCATGTGACTGCAAATTAAAAAGCTGACTGTATCTCTTGTTCGACACTGTCCTAACTTTGAATACTTGCTGATCAAGTGGTCGTAATCCAAGGACTACCTGTAAATTAAACAGGACAGCACCATACATCTATCAAATGTCTACTCCTACTCCTCCTCCTCTTCTCCTCCTCCTTCTTTTCCCATTATACTAGTACATATGAATCTTATTTCTCTGTACAAGTCCTTCAAGTTTCTTTTTACAAAAAGTTAAGAAAATGATATGTAGCCCACAATATTGCAAAACCCAATCCAAAATAGATATAAGAATCCCTTTAATGATCAGTTTGCACTCACATGCATCATAGTAATGCCCTTCCATTATGCTTATATGGACTGGTGGAGCAGGTTCTGGGACAGGCCGCTGACGCTGTGATGAGTAGCGTTTTGCACGCCCACCTTGAACCCCCTGGAAAAAAGCATAACGATATCTAATTATTTAAAAGATTGCCAGAATGAAATCTTTTCCTTTATGATGAGCTTTGTTAACCATAAAAAATCTTCTAATCTGTTTGAATGTTTTATATCCTTAAAATTGGATAATTCTGAGAGATGAAGCCCATATATTTATTTTTTCAAGTCCTGTTTTCCTGTTCTTAGAGCCTCTGAGTGGCCAAATGTTTTGCAGGAGAGACATGAAGCATGTGTCAAACTTTGCCCAGGCATAATTAGCTGTTCTTTTCTTTATAATACATTCATGTTTCTCTCCTACAGTATAGAGGGAGGATTGGTTCCTATAAGTATCCCATCTTCTCCATCATTCTGCGTCCCAAAAACATTAAATCAAAGCTAGATGAATCTATTACAAGGACCAGTATCCCATTAAACTCAAGTTGCTGAACTGATCCTGCTGCTTGATAAAGACTCTCATTCCTCCCATAAGAAATTCTACAACTATTGTCTGCATTCTTGTTGCCAATCAAACTCATCATTTTCAGAAGCAAGAAAAATAAATGGAATGTTACCATGTCTTCTATCCTGTTGAATTGAGGGGGTGGGGCTGTTCCAATGTGCATCTGATTAGGCAAACCTATTAGGAAAGACAAAGGAGAAAGAAAACACCATTTATTCTTCAGCTTTACACTAATATAAATAAATTTTTAAAAACAGAAAGCAAGTTGAAAGAAGTCCTAGATAATATGAAAAAGGCAAATGCTGTTGACTTTGAGAAAGGTATGCCAAAATTCTTCCATGCCGCCATGGTAGGGAATGGTCCCAGGAGGAATGAGCAAAGAAGGCTGGGAGTGTATGCCAAGAGTATATACTCCCAGCAGGGCCATTCATGGCATGCAAGCAGGCATCCAAATTGGGCAGCAGAAATATAGAAAGATGCTGGAGGCAGATGATTATTTAAGTGACAGGAGAAAATTCATTTAAGTGATAACAGCATCATCTCATTCAGTGCAGAAGGCAATGATAAACCACTCATGTCTCAACAAAAAAAACCCACAAAAATGAACAAGGGAATAATAGGGAAGGGAATGCCAGAATGTTGATACCTCAGATCAAATGACCACTCAACGTGCTATTGAGGAAGAACTGAGTGGTTAAGGTGCTGGCCTAGAAATCAGAAGACTGAGTTCTAGTCCCATCTTAGACATGAAAGCCGGCTGGGTGACTCTGGGCCGGTCACTCCCTCTCAGCCCACCCTATCTTATAGGATTGCTGTTGTAGAGAAAATAGGAGGAGGAAGAAGAACTGTGTGTGCTTGCTGCCTTGAGTTATTTATAAAAATAATAAAAGCATTTGGACTGAATGGTCAGATCAATTTGGCAAGATAGGGTCTAATGAGATTAGCTCATGCCCTCTTTAAATGGTTCACGAAGATCAACGTATATGTTAACTCACACACTGGTTGCCACTTAGTGGCAGACAGAAAGCACCCACTCCCACAAAAGAAGAAGCTAAAATCAGCATAATAATATGAAATAAGCAATTGAATATTGGACTGTAATTTTCTGCAATGTTTCATCTATTTTGACTCAACACATTTTCCTGAAATACTTTGTAAGAATCTATACTCTACTAAAACTTTCATCATGACCTTTAAATGGGCAAAACATTGCATCATAGGGCAATGTTCAAAGTATCTCAAATAGGTTAATTTACAAAATATGCCCAACATTTGGGAACCATAACTTCCAAGAGAATGACATTTGGGAAATGTGCTTCAGTGCTACCGGTCATTGCTATAATTCTGCTGTAATCACAGGATTTTCAATGTTTTATGACAGTTTCACAGCCTGTCTTGCAATGCTTCATTCCTTCCTTCACCCAGAAATAGTCAATAACCTGCCATCTGGAAAGGGAGGGAGGGACTTCTGTGTACCCTTCTTGGCCTATGCCACTCCCATGCATACTCCCCCAACCTATGCCATCCCATCCTAGTGCACCATCCCTGATTGGCATGCCACCTCACACTACCCAAGACTCCCATTCATTCTTCTTGACTCAAACTTCCATCTTTCCCTGTGCAGCCTCCCTGATCTGCATAGCACCTCTCACATGTGCCTGGGTACTCTTCCCAATCTATACTGTCCACCCATGCACTCTCTGCAGTATTTCTGATACACACCCCTTCCCAATTCACATATCTTTTTCACACACCCCACATACCATTCTTGACCTACCCATTCTTTTGCCTACCCATGGTCATTCCGTTTCACTGTTTGGGTAAGGAAAGATCTCTGAAATGATGATCAAGAGAGGACAGTTGTCTAGTTTATATATTCTCTAAACAAAATTATTTTTCCTTGCTTTAGCACATCACTTACCCTGTGGTGGTATGAACTGGGGCTGCCCTTGGTTCCAGTTTTGTTCTGTCATATTCAACTGAGTCATGTCTTGTTCAAGACCATCCAGATTTGCCTCAACAGGTACCTCCCAATTAGCAGTCTTTGCAGAAGAAGGTGATGGTATAATATCAGCAGTTTTTAATGGTGCCGGTATCAATTCTGATGGAGGTGGAACTTCATCTGCCAATTTTCCTGTCTCACTTGCTTTGTTCCGACTCCTCCTTGCCCGAGAATATGATTTTTTTTCCACAGGCCTATCTGGCTGTGTCTGTAGAATATCTGCAGGTGGAGTTTGATTTTCCAAAACTACTACTTCTTTTTTAACAGGGCTGTTTTGAATAGGTGGTATCTCAGATTTGGGAGAAGGCTCTCTTGCTGGGATTGGATCTGATCGTCTGGCCCGGTAACTGCTTTCAGGCTTTGACTGTTCACTGAAGCGAGGTGCATGTTGACTATTTACATCCACAGCTCGATAACTTGGGCGAGTATCTTTATAGCCACTAGGTTTGGGGAATGCCCTTGGGCTGGCCATCCATCCTGTCCCTGCGGAGTTTCGATTAATGAATGTCCGAGGTGCCACAGAAGTACTGTCTAGACTCTGATGTCGTGGTGGCTTACTTGGTCGTTCACTGGACCAATTGGATTCTCTCTGTGGTGGACTCCCAAATCTAAATGAAGAGGAGATGCTATTGATCAGAAATGAATGTTTTATGTTCCATTCATCATCACAATTATTCCTCTCTCAAGGTCAGAAAAAAAATCAAGCCCCACATTATTCTATAAAAGTACACAGAACGACTTCTGCAAATTCACCTTGGTTTGCGCACCCTCCTGGGTTTGATGTCATCAGGGTTGTGTGCAGAGCGGATATCATAGCCATAAAGAGCAATTAGCTCTTGTCTGGATTTTGGTGCTTGCTCATCTTCTCGAAACTTGTCATGTTCCCATCGTCCCTCATCTTTCCACAATTTACGCTGGCGACCTTTTGGTCTTGTGTACCAAGATAAAGAAAAACAATTAGAATTAGAACAACTAGAATGGTCTGTGGGGGTTGGGGACTGCTGCTCTTATATCATAGATATAACAGTGAACTAAAGCCACAGCCATTAAAAATATGATTCCACAAGGGAAAATTTAGTACAAAACCAAATTCTTGGCAATTTTTTTATAAAAAATCTTCGTAGATTTCGGAAAGGCCACTATGCTTCTCAAGCAAAAAGATATCTCATCTGGGAAGGCTTTACCATGAGAGACAAAGGAAATAGTTGTGTCTGTAAATTAATACCTTCTTAGAGCTCTACTCTCCTACTGATGACTGCCCAAAGTCAATCAATCATCCAATAACCACTAAAAGGCTGAGAATGGGTTCCATACTTTCCTTCAGTTTTATTATTTTACTATTTAACCCGCAGAATGAGACAAATTTTAAAAGCTAAAATGTAATCCTCTTTAGTGGCCTGTATAACTTTTTCTGTTAGCAGCCAATTGTGCCTGCAAGTAAAATGTTCCTGCCTATAAATTCTTTCTACAATTGCTGCCTGCTATTCCTATCACCTACCGGACTTCCTCTTCCTGGGTTTGTCCACGGAGGTCATGTTCAAAGAAAAGACCTTTACGAGGTATGTATGCTGGGTTCTTCCGGTCTTCATCATCATCTAGATGCTTAGGAAGTTTTTTACCAATTTTGTTTTCAACTTGTTCAGTGCTTTCCTAAAATGAAAGAAATCAAACACTCACTGACCTATTAAAAACCCACCACCAATATCCCAGAAACCATGGGGTTTTTTTTAGTAAAAATGTGATTGATTAGATGTTATGATTATGTATTCTGGATAGATAAGTGAGTGTAAGCCCTTGACTTACAATGATTCATTTAGTGACCATTCAAAGTTATAACATCACTGAAAAAACTGACCCTGCACCCTGCATTCCACCAGATGGAACGTTGGCTTACCTGAACGTCCTTTCTCATCAGGATGATGAAGAATCCACCAATGGGTTATTTCAGTCCTCCTGCCCAATCAGACTAAGTTGTCAAGTTGTCACGCCCCCTCTTTGTCTGGGACTTCCCAGTTTCATCGACGGCGTAGCCAATGACAACAGTGCGACGTGAAGGCTCTCAAGCAGGTATCCAGAAAAAAACACACACAAGAAGCACAGGCCCCCAACTCAGCCCTAACTAACCACTAAACGGGAGGGCGTGGATTCTTCATCATCCTGATGAGAAAGGACGTTCAGGTAAGCCAACGTTCCTTCTCCATCAGGATGACTGAAGAATCCACCAATGGGACGTTACCAAAGCTTCCGAAGTCCCTACGGGTGGGTGTTAGTTGGGGCCGGACCCCCCGATGATATGACTACTTGTTGCAATATACGTCTACCAAATGTGGCCTCGGCCGACGCAAATTTATCCAGGCGATAATGCCTAATGAAGGGCGAAGGCGAAGACCAAGTCGCTGCCCGGCAGATGTCTTCAATTGACGCTTGGGTCGCCCACGCCGCCGTTGTGGCAGCACTGCGGGTAGAGTGAGCCGTCACATGAGCAGGAACAGGCAAGGCAAGTGAGCCGTACGCACCTGCAATGCAGGCCCTGATCCACCGACCAATGGTGGAAGCTGACACCTTTTGGCCCATTGAGGAAGGCTGAAAGGAAACAAACAGGGCTTCCGATTTACGGAAAGGTGCCGTGCGCTTGATGTAACAGTGTAATGCCCTCCTCACATCTAGAGAGTGCCATTGTCGTTCCATTTCATGTGACGGACGAGGACAGAAGTCTGGCAAAACGACTTCTTGCGCTCTATGAAAAACTGTGTTTATTTTGGGAACAAATGACAGGTCCAGCCGAAGGACCACTCTGTCCTCATGAAATTTGCACAGGTCCGATCTGATCGACAAGGCCGCCAATTCTGATATGCGCCTGGCTGAAGTAATTGCAATTAGAAAGGAGACCTTGATTGACCTTAAGGAACATGTTCTGAGCGGTTCAAAGGGAGACGAGGTAAGTGCCTGAAGAACCTTAGATAAATCCCAAGAAGGGTACCTATGGATTACAGGGGGTCCACTGTTAGTGACTCCCTTAAGGAATGCTCGAACGGTAGGGTGCCTGGACAGGGATTCCGAAGAGTCCCATGAAAGTACTGAGGAAAGTGCCGCAAGCTGTCTACGGATAGTGTTGGGCACCAGCTTCTTTTTGACGCCCTCCATTAAATAATCCAGCACCCTGGGAATAGTCACCTGAGATAGACTTACGTGATTCTTGTCACACCAGCGACAAAAGCTCCGCCACGTATGGTCGTAAATACGGTTAGTCGCTGGTCTCCTAGCTGTCTGAATCATATCGATCACCTCCGCCGAATATGATTCCTCAATCAGAGTACAGCGTTCAAATGCCAGACGGTCAATTGAAGCCATTGGGGATCTGGGTGTTGAAGTTCCCCCTGTACCAACCTCATGCGGGTGTCTGGTATCCTCCATGGCGGTGAGGCGGAGAGGCTCACTAGGTCCGCAAACCAGGCCCTTCTGGGCCAGTGAGGAGAGATGAAGATCACTTCCGCCTGCTCCTCCAGGATCTTCCTGATAACCACCGGGAGTAGAGGCAGCGGGGGAAAGGCGTACAAAAGGCCTTGTGGCCATGGGCTGCGCAGGGCATCCGCCCCCTCCGCTCCCCGTGAGGGGAACCGAGAAAAGAATCTGGGCAGCTGAGTGTTCCCCGGCGAGGCAAACAGATCCACTACCGGATGGCCAAACCTGTTCGAGATCACCTCGAAGATGTCTGGATGTAACATCCACTCCGAATGGTCTACTATCGACCTGCTGGGAAAATCTGCCTGCCAATTTGCCACCCCCGAGATGTGCTTGGCCCTGATGGAGAGCAGGTGTTTCTCCGCCCAGGAGCTCAAAGCCCGAGCCTCCGTCATGAGGGACTTGGACCGGGTGCCCCCTTGACGGTTTAGTGGCCCTCCAAGTCACTTTGCGCGACGGAAGGGACGACCCCCTCTGCCACGAAAGGAATGCCTGTTCTGGGGCTGGAACCGGGTTCTGTCCCTGTAGCTTGTCCTGCCAAAGGAACGCTCAGTCCTAGGGGCTGGGGGTCAGTAAGGTTGACCAGGCTCTGTTGAGGCCCCAGTCCGAAAGGACTGTAGGCGGCTATAAGGGAGAAAACGTCTGCTAGCTCTCCTCGCCAGATGAGAAATGACTTTTTGTTTTTGTTTGTTTTCAATAAGATATGGCGTTAGAGCCTCCCCAAATAATCTGCCACCCGCGAAGGGAGCAGTGGCCGCACGCCATTTGTGCTTGCTCTCGGCCCTCCAGTTTTTGAGCCATAGAAGCCTCCTAGCAACCATGTTGGAAGCCATTGCTCATGCTGAGTGTTTGGCCGAGTACAGGGAGACATCCGTCATACACTCGGATGTGGCTATCAGCTTGGTTAAGTCTTGATGGATCCTGACCTCTTCCAAGGGAATTCTATCCTGCAACTGCCTAAGCCAGGTAATGGAGATCCTGGCAAAGGAAGTGGCTGTTGCTGCCTTCGCTGCCCATGCAGATGCCAAGTGAACTTTGCGTAAGGCCATTTCAGATTTTTTATCTTCTGCCTTAAGGGCGTCTGAAACATCTGCTGGGAGAATGGCAGCTGAAAAAAGTGAGGCCAGCGACTCATCTACTTTCGGTACCTCTAACAAGTCTGACAAATTTTTTGCCATGTCTACTAATTTGCGCTCAGAAGCTGCCTGGGTAGGCTGAGCTGCAGGTGAGTCCCATTGCCCCTGAATGTTCCGCAGGAACAAAGGAGGGCATGGAATTTGGAGGTGTTTGTCTACAGGTACTGCGAACAGGGGATTAGTGTCCTGATCAGAGGGAGGCTGTTGGGTAGCATCTGGATGGGAGGAAAGCTTACCCGCTGCACAGGCTCTGCGTAGCAAGGAAGGAAAGAGGGAAGAGGGAAGCATTAAAGAACTCGGCCATGGCCGAGGAATCATGGGTAGGCTCCTCACAATCAGACCAACCGTCCTTACCTACTTCATAATCCAAAAAATTGGAAGAGTCGGATTCCCCTGGGAAGGGGAATTCATACCTGAACGATCCTGTGCAGGACGTGTAGAGGTGGCGGATACCGAAGGAAGCACCGTAGTGGGAGACATCTGATGGTGACCCGATGATGCCATGGCCTGGAACACAGCCTGCAAGATCAACGCTTGGAGCTGGTCAGAGAAGGACTGCTGTAGCGGAGGCCGTAACCCCACAGCTGTCGGCGTGATGTCGGCCGTGGGTGCCGATGATGGCCCAGGCAGATCAAAGTTCTCGCCAAACAGGGGTGGTCCTCCCTGACCAAAGGTCTGAGCCAAGACCTGCTGATGCACATCCTCAGGTGACCAAGCTCTCGATGTGGGCGTTGGATGCGTCCCCATGTCCGGAGGTGTGGAAGTTGGCATCGTTTTATCTCGTTCAACGGACAAGCGTTGGGCCTGGGAGAATTGCTTCTCCAAGGCTCGGTGTGCTCAGTCGGCCTGCCTATCGCTTGCCTTGCCAGCCTTCCTGCCGTACTTTGATTTTGCCTTGGCCTTGCCTCTAGGCGCTTCGGCTGCCGGCTCAACTTGGACAGAGGTGTTGTCTGTGTCCAAGGTCTGTGGCTCAGTGGTTTCTGCCATATCAATCGAGATGTACCCCAGAGGTAACTCTGGAACTGACTTGCTCTGCAAGGGACGCCAGGGCCCCCCTGAAGAGGGACTGACTTCACGTGGATTAGCGTGAGCCGGCCCACTGGCTAACCTGAGCTCACGCTAGGCGCTGAAGCGCACGTTACCCGGTTGTGTAGTGGACCAGAGTCCAAGTTGGTGACAATCACACGTGTCCCACAATAGTGGCAATGGCCAGGATCTTGAGGCAACCACTAGATGCAGAGTGGCAGATATAGGCAATATGGCGAGCAGGGCCTGAAAGACCGAAGTTTCAGCAATGATTCCGCACACCTGCTGATATTAGATGTCTTCAATAGGAAAATAGGCTCTGAAATGCTTAAGCTCGAAGATAAAGAGAATATAGGTGATGCAAGATTATAGATAGAAATATATGTAATAATAACAGTTAAACTGTGCAGAGCAAAGCCTGACTGGTGAAAATTGTAAGCTTACAAAATGGCGTCCTAATCTAATGGTGATAATGGGCGTTTCCCTACTGAAAGTGTCTCAAAAAGGCGGACGCCCTGAGCTCCGGTGGGAAAGGGGGGGAAGGGGAGAGGGATAAGAGAATGAGGCCTGAGGCAGTCAGAAGGTCCCCAAAACAAATAGACAAAACAACTCGAGGCTTTTTAGAACTCAATTAGACCAGTCGCGCCTAACAGCTGTTAGGCGTGAAAAACGGCACCGCTGAGAAGCGAAGCTTCGTCTTTTCAAACGGCAGCAGGGAGACAAGCAATATTCCCCCCGTCGTTTGCTCCAGACTGTTAGCTGAGCTGTGCTGCGGCCGGGGAAACCTCGACGAAAATTGAATTTCCGCGGATTCAAAATGGCGGCCGCTGTAGTTATAGTAACCGGGCCCGGTTACAGAAGCCACATGGCCTCCAAATGGCAGTCCCCAGCTCAAAAGCACAAGAGCTTGCCGGGGGAAGAGAGAAACTCAATTCCCCTGTGACTGCAACGAAGGGAAATTCCCCCCCATTCAGTTAGCAAAGGTTTGGGAGCAATGCTGCTGAATTCAGGGGAAAGGAAACCACCACCCCTATCCTGGAGGGGAATGTTACTAGCCCTGAATGGAAAGGGAAAAAAGGATTCAGGTTTCCCAGGGAAGGGAAAAATCACCCTTAATTCCCCCAACTTTCAGAAGAAGAATCCACCAATGGAGTAAGAATATCTAGTCTGACCTGCTATTCAAACACACTGAGAGTCAAGTTTCACATCGTCATGGGCGAAAGACTAAGATGAAACTGGGAAGCCCCAAAGAGGGGGCGTAACAACTTGACAACTTAGTCTGATTGGGCAGGAGGACTGAAATAACCCATTGGTGGATTCTTCAGTCATCCTGATGGAGAACTGCCACACCCAGTTAATCTTTGCTGTCTTCTTCCTCCTGTTGAGGTGCGCCCAGCTGGCCCTATGTGTGGCAGAGAAGGGGGGAAGATAGGCGAGTGGGGGAGCTGAAACACCCCTGCGGTCATATTTGTGGATGGGTTGCCAAGCACCCAAAATTCGAATACATTACCACAAGAGCACTGTAATAACCATAACTTTAGGAATCAGGCATCGGTACCTTTCATTCAGTGTTGAATGAATGGTTGTTAATCAAAAACTACTTTTATATTGCTCATTTAATTATGCATAAAATATGAATTATAAAATTAACTGGTAAAAATGATAAAAGTTGCATTGAATTAAAATGAAAATTGGTGAAAAATAATGGAGAAATTTGATTATAATATACTGCTCATTATTGCTTCTGAATTTTACTGCTACTACGCTAAATCAAGATAGCACTTTTTAGCTGCAAATATCAGAAACACAAAATATTGCTTATAAAATTCTTACAAAATTACTTGCTTAGAATGCAACTGCAAAAATAATACAGGCATAAGAGAAAAAAATCTACTGAAATGTGATGACTTATAAATAAAACTTTTTTTCATTCTATGACCATAATGTTTTCCTGAAAAATACAAATATGTATTTTAATTTCTAGGTTAATTAATATTTAAGCTCAAAATTCAGCAAAACATACCTGCCCATCCCCACTCTGCCTTTCACCTGCAACTGTGCCTTTTGATTCTGGTTTCTCATCCCCTTTGTCTGCTTTTGTTCTCAATTCAGTGTCATTTCTGTCCCGCTTTAAGTCCATTTTAGTTGTTTCTTCTTCACTGTATTCTCCTTCCTCAGCCTAAAACAAACATGCAATTTGATTCAATTTAGAGGGGCTGGAGAATAACAAATATTTTGTCTATTCTTACACTATGCACAGACTGTATGTTATACTGTCACTTAATACCTTTTTTAATATATGCAGAAACAAAACATACAGTACATCCAAAGCATGCACTTCTAGCTCATATACATGCAAGAAACACAAAAACCTAAATGTTGCAAAGTAAACAAAAATATACTATATACAGCATATATCCAAAAGATGTTTGTTTTTCTTTGAAGATGTTTCGCTTCTCATTCAAGAACCTTCTTCAGTTCTGACTGAATGGTGAAGGGTGGAAGGATATCCTTCCTTATATTCCTTGCAGTCATCTGGTCATTAGCACTCTTTCTGAGTCATTGAGGCCACTTTGAGATATCTGTGCTCTCAGGGTCACCTGAATAATGCAAATGGTTGTGAAACCTTCTTGGAATTGCTGAAATATGCATGACTTGATTGACTGAGAATCTCCATAGACATACAAAGTGTATAAAAAAAAGAGCTGAATGGCTTTTCATGATAAGTAAATATTTCATGCCCTGATTTGTCCAAAGGCACTTACTAAATCCAGTCTCTCAATCTACCTAGGTTAAAAAAAATCCAATAAACTGTCATGTTATATATTCATGTACATTATAAAACGATGTGTATGACCTCAACTCACCTCAGAATCCTCAGCACTTTCATAGTCAGACAGTACAGCTAAAAATAAAGAGTTGTTTGAGGTTAAAAACATCTTCCGAAATGCAGTGTTTTAAAGGCTTAATTCTCATATTTTCTCCCAAGTCTTTCATTCATACCCTCCAAATCCATTTGCAATTGCATCACCCATCCCTTTTGCTCACATATAAAACCTTGTTTTATCTTTGGTTCATCCAGCTAATATTACTTGTTTGGAATATTCCATCTATCACAAAGCATTTTTTTCTGTGAAGCATAGCAAATAGAAAATTCTTGATAGCTACATGGATGTAGTGTTGGGGTGAATGAAAAACAACAAACTGAATCCAGTTAGGATGTAAGTAAATACTGACAGATAGTCCTCAGGACCAGAAATTAATATGTCCTATTCTAGATGAGATACTAGTTCTACCAAAATATCATATGTGTATTTTAGGGGCTCTCCTTAATTCCAATATGAGAGTAGAGACACACTGGCCGTAGAAACAAGAATAAATATAATGAGCTGTAGCTGGTATCTGGCCTGGGAAACTCTAGCCTCAGTGATCCATGTCCTTTACAATTATATTATTGCAGCATAACCATCTTGAAGAACTGTAGCATGCTATGGTAGCCAAATAAAAGTGTGGAATATTGTGAAATAACAAACCTATGCCCTAATTGATCATATATTTCTTCCATTGCTAACAACAGAAATATTTGACTATACAGAAAGCCTTATTACCAAAAATGAAAGGGTAGAATAAGAAATGCCGCTTTTGCGACAAATATTTTATGATTTTAAAAACATTGTTAAGTAATTATTTTGTATTTCTAGCACCAATCACTACAGTTAAAAGCTACTACCACTTACCATCTCCTTCTATGCCATCTTCACTTTCCTGTTTTGAGAGAGAAAACATTTAAGAAAGAAAGAAAACCAGCAGATACAAATATGTTACATTAGACTGCTCTAGGAATGTATTTTATTATGACAAAATAGATGAATGAATTTAGCACGGTTAGTTTCTAAACAATTGAGTAATATAGTTGCTTTAAGATTGGACACAGTCTGAGGAGATCCAAATTAAGAATCCTCTTGGCTATGTGCTTCATTGGGTGATTTGTATCAGTTATTACTTCTCAGTAGCCCACTTGCTAAATTATATGAGGAAAATATTGGAGGAAGTATTATGTACACAGCTTTGAACTTCTGAAGAAATGATCGGCATGTGAATGCAACAAATAATCATACAACTATAACATAAATGCATTATCAGATTATTAATATAAATATTAGGAAGGGATGGAATTGTATCAAAACTACAGGAAGATATCCTACTGGGAGTGCAATTCCAATAATTTCCAGTGAAACAATTATGTCAGTTAGAAACTTATGGAATATAATGCCTAATAAAAAAGGATGACTCTTTTTCCCATGTGAGATTGACTTTAATAGGGAAACCCAACTTTAAAAATTAGGAAAAAGATATGGAAAAATTGGATGGAAATGGGGATATTGAACTGGCTCAACTGATGAAGATGAATTTTTAACATATACTATGTTAAGAGATAAATATCATTTATCAAATATAAACCAATGGCAATATTTACAGCCATTATTACTTTTAGGTACACTGAGAGCTTATGCACCGGAGACAAATTTTTTGTGTGTCCAACCACACTTGGCCAATAAAGAATTCTATTCTATTCTAACATTTGTTAACCATGTTTGGACCAACAGCATTTTCACCCAAGATATAAGATCAACTTTTTAAATAAAAAACTATTATTTTTTTGCAAATATTTGTCATAAATTTGATATGCAGATGCTAAGAAGACATTTAAAATTTAATGGAATCCACTATATTTGTATAGAAAAGGAGTAAGACAACATTTATTAAAGATGTAATGATAATACTTCTTTAAAACACGTTTTTATAATGTCCTATACTCATTAGGTTTTGGGGAAAAGTAAATTATATGACTGTTCAGCAAAAGCTAAAATGTTCAGAAGATAATAATCTCTTGACCATGCATCTAGGTAAGGAATTTAACAATGCAAATGGCCATGTTCTTACTATGGCCAAAAGACTGATATTACAACATTGGTAAGATAAATGTATGGCTACATTCACTAAATGGATTTAAGACCTGATTACATTTGCCACCTATGAGAAGATGGCCTAGAGATATAATTTTATCTCTAGTATAATGAAATATGGACTCATTTATACAAAGTATAATAGGTTAAAAACATGATAGTTATATAAATGTATTAGAAATAAAGAGATACATATTTGAATATTTGTATCAGATAAGCATATATAGAACTGTAAGTTTATTATGACAGTATTGTATTTTTATGTATTTTTCCACCTTTTCAAATTTCTATGACCTTTTCTCTTTAAGCATATATTTCTACCATAATTATCTCTATATTTTGTTCTTCTTTTTCTGTTATTTTAAAAGCATTAAATACATTTCCAGACAGCATCTTTCATGGATACTTGATAGGGGAATACTACTTCAAATCACTATATCTTTAATCTTTCAAAGAATAATCCACTACTACATCCCCCAACTCCCCCAAATTCCAGGGCATAGATTTTTCCATCTTTTCTTGATATTTTTGCTTGTTTTTCTTATTCTTAAACTTGTTTATGTATGCTTTTTTGACTGCTGTTTAAAACTGAGCCTGACTGTTGTTAGGAGTAATTATTCTGCTACTGTAAGTAAAGCATCAGGATATTCCAAAATAAAGAAAACAAATTTTTCTTCCACTTCCACAAAATCCTGCTTGATGAAACATCATTAGAATAACTTTATACTCTTCACAACAGCAAGAATCTGAATAATTTTCTTTAGGGATGATGATTAGTAATTCTTGGAAAATGCTAGGACCTAAAATTATTTAATACATTATTTTTCATGTGCATTTTTAAAAATAAAAACTGGGTCTATATTCAGTTGTCCACATTAGCAACTACTTAGATGTTCCTGAGACATAATAAGCTCTATATGCCTAAAAAACATAATGTCATCTATGTGTTTCTGTAAAAAACAAGAGAACAGATAATAAGAATGTGGCATGATATTATTTTACAGATTTTACATTTTTACAGAAGTGTTCACAATGGTAATATAATATTACCATATTATATAATATACAATATAAAAAGATAACCCATGCCTAAATTAAAACTGCAAGATCTTAATATTAACTCCTAAGTACTTATACAGTTTTTAATACTATGGAAAACAGAATCAAAATGAAAAAAAACCATCATTATACAGAAAACACTGCTATTTGCTGAACGTAAATGTAAGTTTGCTAAATGTAAGGGGTAAGCAGATACATTGTAAAATAATCTCTAATTCCTACATCTACCAAACAAAATCCTTTATTTGCACAATGGCCCCTTTCTGACTTTGAATTTTCAACACAATATCTGTTATAATTCATCCAGCATTGTTTTCAAAGTAGAATTACAGTATCAATTTGGATTGTTATGCTATTATATTACCAGTTTTAAAACTGGTAGATTTCAACAAAATCTTCAGGACCAACCCACAATGCTTATTTAAAAAGGCAGAAAACAGCTGTAAAAAACTAAAATATGACATGCATTCAAACATAATAGTATTTACCTACTAGAAACCTAAGAGTTAGGTTTCTAGTAGAGTTGTTAAAGAGATTTAACAAATCAAGTTCAATTTAAATATCCGCAAAATAAAAGATATTGAAATTTGTTTTACCACCATCATCCTTTGTCTTAGAATAACAGGTACGCACCTTCTGCATACTGTATTATACTCAGAGATACAATTTTGTTTAATGCAGCACGCAAACGGAAGTGCTGGCTATCTACTTCCGAGACGAAAGAACGGCTATGGAGAAAACATCGAAAAGAAAGCCAAATACTAGTTTGTTTTTACCCATCCAAGTGGAACCTGGTGGGCCATTACTCAGCGACGAATTAAAGGAGTACTCTGCACATCCTCAGAACCACTCTTCCCTCCCCCGCTCTTCCCCACTTTGTACCCAAGGAGTGGACCGTAGTCAAAATCTCCCCGCTATATGCAAAGGGAGGCGGGAGCTGATCATAAAGAGCTTTCCCGTTCTCTCTTTCCCTTCCGGATCTTTCCACTCACACACTCCGAGTCGGCCGGGCTACCTCCAACCGTCACCGGCGCCTCCACATTTTCAGTACCAGCAGTAGCATCCCCGGTGCTTGCCGCTCCGGCTAAGCCAAAGCGGTGAGTGCCGCTCTGCGGTGAAGAACCTGCGCTTCCAGGCGGCGAATCGGACTCATCCTCTTCGCTGCTATCCTGCGAAGCGCGCTGCCTCCTACGATCCGCCATTTTGACAGGAACCAAAAAAGGAAACAAGAAAAACGAAACGTTTAGAAGGTGGAGGAAAAGGAAGCAAGGCCCAAAGAGGATGACGGGTACGGAAGATGACGTCCAATACTGAAAAGACTACGATTCCCAGCATCCAACGCAGGTCTATTTCAAACTTTCACTCGTTCACCCAGAATTCTTTATGCTTGGACTCCGGGGGGTCCAAGATTGCGGGAAGAAGAAAATTCGCGCCCAATCGAGGGCGATGACATCACGAGAAAGCGGTTCAATAGGCGGGGGGGGGGGAAAACTCCCAGCAACAGTATCACGTGCTTTATATATCTCTAAATTGCTGCATGAGGGGTGGGGACGGAAGCTGTCTTGCTGAGTCAAAAATAGCATGACGTTTTCCCATTGCAGAGATTACATCACTCCAGTTTTCCTGCAGTGCTAAAATAGTTGAGGCGTAGCAACCTCTGGAGAAAACAAGATAGCCATTAAAGTTTAAAACAGCGGTTTATGTAAGGCTAGGATCATTAGGGAGACGACGCAAAGCGCTACCAGACATTAGGCAATGCAGCTATCAACAGTGCTGTCTTTGTGCATCATTCCTATTACAGGACCAAATACCATGAGGAGGGGGTTCTCCATATTATGTACAGATCTTTCCCACTCATATTTGATGGCAAATTCCCGGAAGATGGGAGGAGCCTGACTAAACAGATTTCTGAGGTGTTGTTTCTTGCTTTCGTTCCATTCTGCACTGTTCAGAAATCTTTCTGATTCTCTTGAAGCTATCTTAATTCAAAGGCTACCTCATTTAATGGCAAGGAAACATAACATGAAGTACTTCTCTTTTTTTGTCCTGAATATATCACTGATTAACTTCATTGGGTTGACTCCATTTTATGAGATGGAAGAAAAGTATCCCGATCCATTTTCTGCACACTGCATTTTCATACATCCTTATCGTTTCCCCTTTTTTCTTAAGTTAAAAATACCAAAATACAGCCTTTCCTTTTAAAGGAAATGTCTTCCTTGTTTTGATTATTTTCATTGACTTCTTTGTAATTGGCAAATAACTTTAACTATATTAAGGTGGAATAATGAACAATTACTAAAATAATGATTTGTCTGCATAATTACTAGAATAATGATGTGTCAGGAATAATGCATAATGTGGGACAAGGAATCATTAAACATCAATTTTTATATGTCCCAGACTGCCCAGTCTCCTTTGACAATGGGAAACAATTAATTCAAGTGTGTCACCCAGTGGAAGAAATATGGTGCATAATGGTAGTAACTGAAGAAAAAGCAGAAAGCACTGAGTGGCAACAATGTTTAAACATTCTAGCAGCAGTTATGCTGTTACTACAGGAGGCAAATAAGTTAACCTTTTCTGCTCCCGTGACTGTACTAGTCATGCCCTACAGACAATTATTGACAATAAGGGACATTTATGGATAAGCAATCAAAGAATGCGTAAGATACAGGCTCTTTTATTAGAAAATCCACAAGTTACACTGCAACAGTGCTCTACTCTCAATCCAGCCACTCTTATGCCAATACCAGATTCAACTATGCCTGTGCATAACTGCATGCAAACAATAGAACTACAATATTCTTGCAGACCTGACCTTACGGACCAACCATTGCATAATCCAGACTTTCAGTGGTTTACTGATGGATCGAGGCCTTTCCAATTGCAAATAAGAAAGCTATACAAGTTGCCAGAATCTTTCTGTTGTGATTCTGTGCCAGCCTGTGTTCCCAACAGCTGAGTCTGAGGAATATGAGGAGGAGGTGGAGGAGGCCTTTGAGGGGCCGTCAGAATCAGAGGGAGGCTCTGATGAATTACAGGACTCACAGCTTGATGAAGAGCCTGGCCCCTCCAGTTGTGTTTCTGATGAAGCTCAGCTGTGTGAGGAGCATGAGTCAGATTCGGAAAGCTCACACCTGGATGTGCTAATTGATGCTCGCAGGCGTCGTCAATTAGCAAGAGAAAAACAACAGCAGTCTATGCGCCAACTCCAAAGTAAATGGAGAAGGCAATGAGAGGCAACGCCCTGGGACTGCTGTATAAAAAGGGGAGGCGTGGGCATTGCTGGTTGCTGAAGGCAACCGTTTGCAAAGTGCTTCTTGGAATCCTGGTCTGTTCGTCTTGCTTGCAACGTGTTCCTGTGGACTATTTCCTTCCTTTGGACTTGAGTTTTGCTGTTTGTGTTTTGGACTTATTGACAGGTTTGTCACCCAAATAAAAGGGATTTTGTTTTGTTTTAAAGTCTCCAGCCTATTGTATCAGCAGGGGTTTGGTCCTTGTGCCTCTAACAAGGACGGCAATAGGCTGGGATTTCTTTCTTAAAGAAATTATTCCTAGATTTGGTTGCCCTTCTAAGATTTCATCAGATAATGGCCCTGAGTTCGTACATCAGATTAACAAGGCTTTAGGCCAGGCATTAGGAATTAAGTGGAGATTTCATTGTGCTTTTCATCCCAATCAGCTGGTAAAGTGGAACGTGCTAACCGTACCATTAAAAACCCTTATTACCAAATTTTGTTTGGAAACTCATCTCCATTGGCCAGACGTTTTGCCTATGGTTTTGTATGCAATCAGACTGGCCCCCCGCACTAAATTGCAACTTAGCCCTTATGAGCTCATGTTTGGCCGTACTCCTTGTCTATTTAAACCTGACAGTCAGGGCTGGCCGGACTTGGCTCATAAGGGTGGAATAGACCAACAGAAATTGTTACACCAGTTACAGCTTCATAATTTAGCTGTTTCAAATTTGCGCCATTATATGATGGAACAACAACCCCCTCCAGTGGTCACGGCGACACATGGGTTCAAACCAGGAGATAGGGTATGGGTAAAACACTGGAAATCAGATCCCTTGAGCCCAAGATGGAAAGGATCATATACTGTTGTCATGTGTTCTCCATTGGCAGTGAAAACTTTGGAGGGAAAGTCCTGGATCCACCGGAGTAGATTGAAAACAGCTGTACCTGCCGATCCAGTAACTTACAAGGTGGATAAAACTGACAAACCTTTAGTGTTAAATTTTACAAGAAATACACCGTCGAACCCTACCAGCAATGGGTTCTCAACACATGGTGTGAACATCAGACCTTGCTGAGACACTCCGGAAGCTGTCTCTCTACGCATGGTGGAAGACATGAGGATTCTACAGATCATAATACCTGTTGGTTATTTAATATGGGAAATATACACACACATTCCTATACAAATCAGTGCAATGGCTACACAAGAGGTCATACCGCAGAAACGCTCTAATAGAAAACTATTGAGTAATACACACAAAGAAAAAACAAAAACACAGGGAAACCAGGATTGTCAAAACTGCATAAAGATAACAAAACAAGGAAACCAGATAACTAAGACTTTGATTTATTATACAATGAAACCAGAAGGGTGCCAAGATAGCTTCCCTAACTCCTGTACATACAATAGAACTACATATAAAGTTTGTAGAAAAGGAGCCCAAGATCAGTGTTATAACCTGAAGTCTGATCCTGATAGTTGGGCCTTACAAATCCGAACACATAGAACAAGAGGGAGCTCTAGGGACCAGGCACTATTAGGGATCTCTCAATGGAAATCCAACCCACACTCCAGTTTTAGTGTTACCTTTGATGTTTGTAAAGCAGCTAATTATTGGGCCGCAATATATGGTTGCGGAGGGATCAATTGAATCCACAGCTACATCCCAAACCGTAAGTATTTGTGCCCACCGGATAGGTGTGCAGTCTCCACGGTCAAATGTAAGTGGTGGTCATGTATTAAGTGGCATACCCAAGACCCAAAGGAGATGGAGCACATCTTGTTTGAAAACAATAATACAACAAGGATTTAATTTGGAAGATATATTTTCAGGATGGTGGCCAAAGTTACCAGGCCTACAAACCATCAGAGTTATAGCAGTTTTGTTAATCCTAGGATGTATTTTGATTCCTTGCTTACTCCCCTGTTATAGCAATGATTCGAAGAATCTCAGAAAGTACAGCCCAATTAACTGCAAAACATGAACCAATGTTAGCTTTATGGGAATATAAAATGTTGCCCTCTAAAGATCCTGAATTGGAGGACGAATAATGGAAGTTTAAGCGAGAAAACTTCCAAAGGGGGGAATATGGTGGAATAATGAACAATTACTAAAATAATGATTTGTCTGCATAATTACTAGAATAATGATGTGTCAGGAATAATGCATAATCACTAGGAAAGTTCTGTGTCAGTAATATGTGACTAACCTAATGCGCATTGCACATGGATACAATGTATGTAGCAAACCCTCCATTGTATACCCGTGAGAAACGAACCTAATGTATTACAATGTGTAGTCCTTTGTTCCTGAGAAAAGGAAAGTATAAAACTGAAGTTTGAACCCGCCCTCAGGGTTCAGAATTGCTTGTCTCTATTGCTTCTGAACCTGCACAATAAATCTCTCTGCCAAAACCCTCTGGAATTCATAAAAGTCCTTTCGTTTTCCACAAGAATATAATTGTCATTCTTTGGCTATAAAAATATTGAGAACATCGATTTTTGTATAGAGAATGGGTTAGGGATTCTTATGTTTATTTGAGAAATATGTATTATATTTATTGTCTAATCTTTAAGGAAGATTGCCACATAGCGATGATGATGATGATGCCAAACCCCAAACCAACAAATGACGTCTTCCAGTTTTATGTAAATATTGGAAAGGAAGAGAGAGATAGAACAGTGCAGCACTCCACATACGAGGGGCCTCAACAAACACAACTAAAGCTGTCTCAGTACTTCCTGGCCTGAAACATAACTGAATTGTATAGAGATTATCCATTTCCTTCAGGGTTTTAATCAGGTTTTTTTTCCTACCACCTTCTCAACAACCTTCATGAAAAAGTGAAGTTGGAGACTCAACTGTAGTAAAAAACTGTTGGTTCAAAAATGGCCTCTTGAGAAAAGTCACCAGCACCACCTCTTTCAAGGCTGGAAGTACTACCACTTCCTTAAAAGAAACTGATACCACAGTATAGATCCAAACGAGGATCACCTCCTTGGCCACTTTTATGATCCAAGAGACCCAAATAAAAAGGTGGCTAAGCTGACAGCACAGAGAACCTTGCCCATTCTTAGCAATGATCAGATGACTCTTTTTTGATATAGGAAAGGCATCGTGTTTCAGAACTGTACCTGGTCTCACAAATAAGGCAATACATAACGACAAAAGCAATATTCTTTTCATTTTATTGTAAAAAAAATTATTTCAATTTTATTTAAACATACAAGCAGAATTTCTCTTTTAATACTCCTTGTTAACACTGTTTAAACTAAATGAACAAAGCAAAACAAATTTAAAAACAAAAAATGAACATTAACAGCCACAAATTTGGTATTTACAAACTTTTTTCTTTATAAGTTATTTACAAGACAACTGATTTTACATATTGGAAATGGTATAAAAAAAAGAATGCATTTGCAGACAATCACATTTGAAAGGGCAAAAAAAAGGGGGGGGAATTTTAGGCAGTTTTTAGAACTACCATAAAGTTAGTTAAAGAAAATGTTTGTTTTCCAAAAAAAACCCCAGATATATAATTTGCATTGGCTTTTTTCATTAACAGAGTTTTCAAATGTTGAACTCCCTACAGAGTGGGAAACTATTTTTTCCAGCCCATTCCCTGCTAACATCCACTGCAAACTGTTTCTACAAACCCTATCTACTTCCATATGCCTATTCATCTTTTTATGATGCACGTGTTATAACTGATTGTAAGTCTTTCTGAGTCAACATTCTGTTCATTGAGGGAAGGGAAGAGATAATAGTTTTATTCAGAATACAAATTGAATTATTTCTGATAACTGTCTTGTTGTGGGCTAAACAAAAACATTTTCTTCTGAAAATGGAATCTTGATTCAAGAACTGATCATATGATCCATTTCTAATTACTTTAGAAAAAGCAAGATCAAGTTCCAAAATCAACAGTCTTCAAAAAGCTTCTACCAAAAATCTTCTTTGAAACATCCACGCTTGTACTTGGCAGGAGACAAAAAAAATAACCACTTATGAATGCATGCTGGCATGCTAAAAAGCAAAAGATCCAAATACAGCCTTATTTAAAACAAAATCAGGCAAACATTTTGCACTAGTTCAACTACAATAGACTACATGGCAGAAAAGAGGATCTGTTCTTGTCATTTTAATTTCAAGTCATAGAATGTAACTTTTAACAATGTTCATACTAAGTGTGCTACCTTTGGTGGAACAAATAGTACTTTAAATTCCCAGAAAAAACTGCCCAGAAATGTCACTGCAACTGTCCTGAACAACTGGAAATTAAAATGGAAAATGAAACAATTTTTAGTGTCCTCCATAAGAGATGCAGGAAAATAACATGTAGGGTTTTTTACAATTCAAGAAACTGAAACTCCCCCCATTTATCTAGAAATTTTAGCCATTTCAAAAAAAAAAAGTTAGTTTCAGTATTCCCCTAAGCAGGCAATACACAAACAAGGCAGCTTCCAAAAACGATGTAGATCAGGCAGAAGACATGCGATTTTACAAAGGAATTCCCTATACTGAGGGAAGATGAAAGTATTGATTTCCACTTACTGTAAAAATTACAGGATTATGATTGGCTTAAAAAAGTGCCAAACTTTAAAACAATCACAAATTGAAGTTGAAGCTACTTCTCAGTATTTCCATTGGGAAATCCAAACTGTCCAACTTTTTTAAAAACAGTAACAACTGTTTCACAGTTTTGACAGGATATTTGGCTAAACAAAACAAAAAAACATCTAGCATTGCATGGTTAATTCTGGATTTTGCCAAATTATATACCAGAACTGTGACAAAGATGTGAAGACATGCAGCCTTTCACTACCAGGACGGCCTGCATTCGGTGTTATAAATTCAAGACCTGATTAGTAATTGTAATTTAAATTAGAAAGCATGAAAGGAACTCATTAAAAAGCCTTGAAAAATCACTGGGGCAGGTGAAAATACATGAATCAATATGTGGATGCTTTATAGAACAGCAGTTAGAAGCAATAGGTCAAATGAAGTGTCTGTGTTGTTCAATGATGGATAACCCCTTCCCCCAAACTGTCAAGGCCCTTAATTAGCAAGCTAATTATTCCTAAGGATATATATGTATATGATTTCATGTTTGTGAGGAACTCACAAATGGATGCTTGTCCATCTTTCATAGCTTCTCAGTGGATTGTACTTGTTGCAGTTATTCAATACAGTTCAACAGAGGAGGCATACCATAAATTGTTAACCTTATTCTCTCAACTCAAACCTCCAATACTTTCTACCAAGCAAAGGAAAAAAATGAAAAAAGTGAAAATAAAACCCAGAGAGAAAAGTGTAAGCATAAAAAAATATTTATAATGAACAAGAATATACATCATGGAGGATGGTAGAAGAAAAAGACATAACAAAATATGTACTGTTCTCTGCCATTTGCAGAAAATGACACAAGCCGACCATCAAGACAGATTTCTCCTAGTCTGATTCGTTTATTTCCTGCATGTCCGATGAGGAGTCTGTTTCTTTTGCATCTCTAGCCGGCAACGACTTCGTTCATCCAACCACGGCAGTTCAAAATTCCTGCCAAACAGAAAATGGCATAGAAGATTATTTGTGATGTTGAAAAGAAGAGAATGGTTAGCAGTTCTGTCTACCTTTGCATAACTTGGCTACAAGCCTACATGTCTGGCCGCAAAGAAATTAAACACAAACCATAAGCACAATTTCTAGAAGATTTACATAACATTTGAATACAGATGATATTGAACTCTAGCTACTGAAAACTGTTTTATCAGAGCATTCTTTTACAATATTGGGTACTCTATAATAATAATGTTTGCTGAATAAACCATAATTGGCTGAGTTTACAATACCTGCTATCCTTTAAGCAATAGATTACAAGCTGCAACAAATCCATCCAACATAACATGTTAAGATGAAACCTAAACAACCACATTGTGGCTTAATGCAATGTGTAAAGCCAGCTACTATTGTAGAAAAAAGTGAAACAGAAAAATATAAAAATGTGAATTTTAATTCAAGGGAGCTAAAACCAAAAACCAATTATTTTGCCCATGTATTTTATCAATACATTTTCATCTCTTTACCTGTGCGATATGAAAGGAAGAAAACCATGACTGCGAGAACACAAGTAATAAGAAGGCCAAAGAAATGTGATTTATATGATATTCACTATTAGGATGCAAGAATTCCCCTAAAAGAATTAGAAAGTGGAAAAGTTTTAAAAAGGGACCATTTCAAGGTTGTCCCTTATAAAGAGGATATTTTATAAGCAACAGTGTATTTCTCCGGTATAGAATTGATAGTGATAAGTATTTCTTTCATTAATCCATGAACACGCAATTTCTGTGAGTCAGAAGTTACAAATGAGCCTCTCAACTTTTTCATATTTCCTATTTTTTTTTAAAAAAAGAAGTCATTATTCATAGCCCAGTCAAAGGATTTCTTACTAAATCTCTATGATTTCTCAGTTAATTTCACTGTAAAGTCTTAAGAAAATCAATTTCCTATGATTGCCAATGCAGCATTGTCCTTAATTTTTCCAGTAGCTTATAATACTAAAATGCATCTAGGATTTAAAGGTAACAATATTGGCTAGATGCTATTTGATAAATTTTTGATGTGGCATTTTCTCATCACAATGAAACCCAAGTCAGTCCACAAAATAATCAAGCAAACAAAACACTGCATAAACAGAAACAAGATATTTTCCCACAACTTTTACAAAATACATTCTTCCTTAATGCAGATATATAATACATTGGTATACTTACTGTGGGGTTAATTTTGGTAATGGTCGGCCGAACGCTACAACAGGCAAATATGGGGTGATCAGCAAACTTTCAACTAGAAGTGGAAATGGAAAAGAGCTGCAATGTTCATTCACATTATTGCACTTATATGAAAATATCTGTTTTTACAATAGAATAATCCCAATCCAAAATTCTTTGTGCATAAGATAGGGATATGAGAATTTTGATAATCACTCACCATCGTCTGACTCTGGGAAAAATGAGGTAACTTCAGGCTCAGATTCCTGAATTCCTTTCTTTTTATACATTCTAAGTTGCAATCTCTGCAAAATTCTTTGCTCCCGGATACGCTGAATATCCCACCTGTGAATGGAGTGAGCAAAGGAACAACAACAAAAATTTCAAATTTTCTTTTATAGGGAAATTTGAGTATTTTAGGTTTTATAAAAATCAGCATGTCAAGAGTAATGCATCTTTCTGTATTAAACAGAATGCTTTTCAATTTCTATAGGTTATAACAAGTCTTTGTATTTCAGCCAAACCATAAAATACCCTCTTTGTAATCCCTTGCTAGATGTAAATGCTACTCTGCTTTCTTCAACTAATTACAAATCCCAGTCCAAAATCATCCAGCACAAGTATAAGGCACATGCATAATGGTAAAAAACAGATTTAAGACATACTAATTGCATAAAACCTTTCATTTTACATGTTTAACTGTTTGCAACCCATGCAAACTTTATTGTTAAATGTTTAAATGAAAGCAGATACTGAATTTTCTGGCATTATTTCATCACTAACCTTTTTCTCCTTTTCTCATCCAATTCCAACTTTGCATGTCGTTTGGAGAAGACATTGTCTTCTAAGTTCTGTGAAAAGTTTAATTAAGGGGGAAAAAAAGATACAAGTAATATGTGCTGTACTTTTCAGAGTATCTGAGTTCCTCTGTTTCCATTTTCGGATGGAAAGCATTTAGGTCTGCCTTGTATGTAACATGTGTTCATAAGAAGATTTTAAATTTTGCTTTATGATAATGTACCCTCCAAGGGTAGGTAAAAAGAAACAGGACTGAAGATGTTCAAAACTGATTACCAACTTTCCTTCTGGGAGACCAGATATGCTTTTTGTATTATTGCAACACCAATGGAAAAATTATTTATTAAGATATTATTATTATTTTCCCATCACTGTTTATAAACACAATAGTACAAAAATATGATCTGTCTAAAGATGTTCACTCAAGAAGCAAAATTTGAAAACATAGTGTTAAAAAAGATAAGCAGAAGTTAGGTCAGTTGTGGTGAAATTGGATAAGTTAATTACAGTTAAGAGTTTTAAATACAAATACAAATGAACAATTCTGCAAATCATTTTTCATTTAACAGTCTATTTTATTTAAATGATAATGGTTAAGCATCTCATATCCTGTCCCTCAAGTATGAATACTAGTTGAGGGATAGGATTGGATTAGTTTTATAAAAACTGAAATGCTTGTATTGCTACAAGGATTTTGAAATTGGTTCTTCTTTGGTATTTAGCTTTCCAGTTTGAAATGCTCTGATGGTATTATTAGTATATTTCCAGTTGACAAGCTCAGCGTCTTTAACTGCTGAGCTATAGCACCCTTCTTTTTAAATGAATAAACTCCCAAATATATTCCTCTTAAAGTGCTGAAAATTCTGAATCCATCTCTTGAAGTAACATACTGAATTTATCAGAGGCTTAATTAATTAATTTGATATTTAATTTTAGGTGATAAAATTGTGCCATGGTAAATAATTTGCCATCAAGAGTTTGAACGGCTTCAGAGATCCCTCAAAATATGTATCTCATAGCCATTATGTCGCTACTGCAGATCAAGATATAAGCATTACAAAATTTACCAGAGTATATGACAGAGATTGTCCATTTTATCTGATATTTCAATGTATGTTTTCGTAACAGTTGCAAGAAATATCTGGTTGGACAGTATGGTTTAAAAACTCAAATATATTGGGGTGGCTGTCCATATAGTTATAGAATATAGAAAATATAGGAAGTTGTTATGGAAGAACTATAGATTACCAATTCTACGCAATTATATCTAGCCATGTTGCTCAATTCTTGCTACAAAGCTATTTGCTTACATACCTCCAGAAGTTCAGAAGGATTCAGATCTCTCAGGGGCTCTACTGTGTGGTCCCTCCATGATGGAACTAAGAAAGGGAAAACAGTGTTACGATACTAATTTTAAAGAAGTATTTTAGTAAAGGAAGCGAATAATGTAACCATCCAAACATTCAGAGTTAATTTAGGTTAGACATTTCACTAGAATTAATTACTTAACACCTTCCTATCCTTTTCACCGTTCTACAGGCATATTTGAATTTTGTCTTTTTTAGAGAACATACAATTTTTCAATATTATGATTTGAATTTAACTTGCTGTTAAACTTACTTTTAAAAACTTCCCCACACCCAAGTTCACATAATGCCTTTTGATTTTATTCTCAAGCACCCTATGACAAAGACAGGATTTACTTTATGTTTCCCAGTCAGCTTTGGAGTTCTGCAAGGTTTTAATTTCAGCAATGTTCAAATATTAAAATTCAAAGTGAGTGCTGTGGAATCATAATAGTTCAGTGGTAAGAAAATACTTTTTATAAAATTTTATGCATGATTTTTAGTATTTAATCCACAAAATCAATCATGTATTTATTAACTTGCAGAGTCAATAATCCAGAACTGAGCTGAAAGGATCTCCCCTTTTATTAGGTTGTACAATTTGATAAAATCAAAATTCTCCTACAGAATACGGGATGGTTTTATAATCATACTAAGCCATAATATGGTTATCTGATTTTGGCTTAACAAATTATATAATCTTGCCATTGTGGTTTATAAATCAGATGAGCCAATAACTAACCAAATCACCATATGGCTTACAATGATATGTTACTGCAACCAATGTTTATTGCATATATCTTAAATAGTTTGTAGATATTCTGGTTAAAAGTAGCTAAGAAAGTTTAATTTTAGCCAAACTTTATAAATGAAATAAAGCCCATTTACCTACATGTACCTGAATTAATCATAATCCTAAATTATCACTATCCTAAAATTACAAATTAAAATACCTTTCAGTCTATGAATTGGTCCTTATTTTTCATAAAGCAATTGCCTACTTTACCATAATCTGCTGGCTGTTAAAACAGCACCATATTTTCTATCACATCATTTGTAAAGTTATCTGGAACATTTTCTGAAAGTTGTCAAGCTAACTTTTTGAACAGATTAATACTCTAAAATTTATCTCTGGTGACCTTTTATCCAAGATATTTACAGAGGCCTTACAAATTAGATCTAATAGAAATTGTCACCAAACCTTCTGAATTTAAACCAGCTCCAGCTCCCCTTGAAGAACTGGCTAAATACACAGGATCCGGCAAGAGACATTGGCTCAATACTTTTTAAAAAGAGAAAAGGATTCATGAATACTTATCCTTGAGAATAACAAGTGAAAATTTTGAGAGTGTTTGAGACATATGACCAGGTAGCTATTTTCATTGTGCTTGACATCTGAACTGCCCAAAAGTAACAAATTGGCTGCAGATGGAAGTAAGCTGGTGGACTTAATGAACCTTTAATACAGCAATGCACTTATTAAGACACAAGCACTTATTATGTTAGCAAAAACAGCCAAATAGGCAAGAGCAAAGCCAAAGTCACAAAGAGAGATTAGGCTCTCAATTTGTTATTGTCTTCTACTATACAATTACAACCTGAGATTAAGAAAGATCTAACTTCAAAGAGAAAGAGGTGTCCACAATCTGGTGTGAGAGGAAAAAAAGTCTCTTCCCCAACCTTCAAATTACTTTGCAGCTTTTCCAACAAATATATTTTTCATTTTGTGACACACTATAAAAAGAATAGCAAAATAGCTCATTTCTGTTTAGGTTCAAACTGGTAAAATATGGAACAATATCAACATCTTGTAAGTTATTAATTTTATTGGAGAAGATTGAGAATTTTACAACTGAAATTGGAGACATAGAAAGGAACTTGTTCAAAATAGAGATATTCAGTAGCAGTTCTACTAACTGGAAGAACATTGCTTTAACAGTATTACCCAAAGGAAAAAAGAATACCATGGTTGACAAGTTAGTTTGTAAAAAATCCGACAGTTTGATGAAAAAGAATGAAATGGTTTGAGTTATATCTTCATTGGGAGTTTCTGTGAAAAAAAATCAAGCTAACAGTTGAATAAACGGTGCTACTATGGAAAACATACTCAATAGCAAATTCTCTCTTATTTTAATAGCTGCACTCAACATATTAAACCTAAAACTAACTAAAACATTTTAGTTTAATGTGTTGTGTGAATTAGCCCATAATTTATAGTTTTGTATTATACTTAAACCATGGTAATATTATTTTACAAGTTAATATGTTATATGATCCATGCAAAGTAATCATTTCAAGACCACTACCCATTAAACAGTGATACCTATGGAGAAAGGCTAGCAGGGTTAACCAAACTATGTATGTAATATTTTGTCACATATCTTCTTCCTTGTTCCTTCAAGGCACCTAGAGAAATTATATAATATACTATAGTTTATCTTATACTGTATGTTTAAAAACTGATTGAAGAAAGTCATATTTCAGTAATACTACCCTGACAATTAATGACGAGATATATTAATATTCATGGAAGGAATCAACTACTTCCTAAAAAGGCTACAAAAAGGAATTTAAAACAAGCCGTTCTGCACAAATTCATATAATGGTTACCTTCTATCTGACTGAAACTGCATGATGCCCCTCCTCTGAAATAAGGATGTGTATGCTTTTCTGTAAATATTTAATTCCATGTTTCAAATATAGTTCTCATGGATAAAGATACGAAGGAATGCTGAAAGTATGCTTGCAATGGTTTAAAGTCTCAAACATTAAGCTGCAAGATGCTTTCAATTGTTTACACTATAAACCAATTAAACTATCATGACTTCTCTTTAGAAAACCTAAAAATTAATTCAATAAAAAATGCAATGATTTCAAATGATTTGATGTTTTGAGAAGACTGGAATCTACAAATCAATGAACAATGGCCCTTTTCTTTTGATCCTTTATCTTTCCAAAATTTCAGCTCATGATCTTGCCAGCTACAATCCTTTCCTTGCTATACAGTCTTGGCTCAATTCAGTAAATTATGTAAACATTACTTTTTATCATATTTTACATAACAAATTTGAAATGTCAAATTTGAAATGCTAGATCAAGACTTGTTTTAATACTGAAGAGTACAGGAAAAACTCTAGCAGCTCGGAATACTGATTCCTATAAGAATCTAGGCAACAGAACAGATAAATTCTGAATAGGCCAAAACCCATTATTCATGATCTGTCGTTGTCTAATTAATTATACAATATACCATCATTCAATGCTTATATTCTTACTACCAGCTTTTATACACACTTAAATGCACCCCCATGTTTTATGAAATATTTTAGTTATTTTTAACTAAAAATGACACATACATATTAATTTATTAAGTCAGATCTTGTTTGCAAATATTGACTTACTGTCTGTCAGACTGCATAACCATAACCATTGCTCAATCTGCTCTCAAGGATAGAAAAAATGTCAAATCTCTTTCCATGGCACACCTAGAATCTATAGCTTGCTGTCTTATCAATCTAGTACTAGAAGTCATGGTTTGTTCATGTTTCTGATCCTTGAGTTGTTTGTAAGAAGCAAGACAAGGATCCTGGTTTACAGAATAATCTGATTAAAGACTTTTTTCATTCATCTATTCATACTTATAGAAGAGGTCAATTAGCAGCAATAGAACAGTGTGTAGTAGTACATTAGCTTTTTGACAAGGCAAAATTCTAGAATATTTGTGATGTGTGGACCGTTCCTGATCTTATATCCTTTGTTCCAATATAAAGTACAACTGGAACTTTACTATGGCTTTTCTTAACAATGCTACGCTACAGGTATAATCAAGACTTCAAAAACAGTTGACTTTACATCATATCTTAGCATTATATCATACCATGGTGGTGCAGTGGTTAGAATGCAGTACTGCCAGCTGCCAGCAGTTCAACAGTTCAGTTCTCATTGGCTCAAGGTTGACTCAGCCTTCCATCCTTCCGAGGTCGGTAAAATGAAGACCCAGATTGTTGGGAGCAATATGCTGACTCTGTAAACCGCTTAGAGAGGGCTGTAAAGCACTATGAAGCGGTAAATAAGTCCAAGTGCCATAACTCAGAGGTCCCCAACCTTTTGGGCACCAGGGACCAGTTACATGGAGAGAGGTTTTTCCGTGGACTGAAGGGGACGTGCTTTTGTGTGCTGCCTGCATCCTGCAGATGGGGCTTTCCTTGTTTGTGCGGACCGGTTGCTGGCATGCCACGGACCGGTACTGGTCCATGGACCGGGGGTTGGGGACCCCTGCCGTAGCTATTGCTATTTTATTACATTAGAACTTTGGCAATTCATTATCTTTATAATTTTTTTTAAATAGTCTGATCAGACTAACTTAACCAGGGTTCTGTTTGCTAATCCTTCCCTTCTCTCTTTTAATCCTCAGCTGGGCTAACATTTATACCCAATCTGTAACATGAAGCCCATTTTAATTATACTTATTTTTCTACTTTTCCTTCTGTTCTTTCTTCATTTAAAGTAAAATAGCTGCTGACAGAATGTATACCTCAGTTCAGAATGCACCACTCATTTGGATATTGATTCAGAGAGATTGATTTCAAAACTTAACTCCATCTTGTCACACAGGGTGACAATTGTTATAGCAGAACCCTCATATATTTAGGATAAACAACTGCCATAGAAGCTTAACCTTAGTAACTGAAATATCAGAGCAACTTTCCAGTATTGTACAGTCAAAATAGACTATCACCGAGGTGTTGCCTAGGAAGGAAATGAAAGCTATACCAGACTTCTCATTCACACAAACAAGTCCACTTCTCTTGGACACTTAAGCTAATTTGTAAGAATTAGTTAGCTGATACACTTTTTTCATGTGCACAAACCAAGCCCCTGCCCGCATGAAATATCATGAAAGGGAGCAGATGGTGACAGAAAGGGGTGTTTATTGCATATGTTGTCAGCATATTGAGACATAAATGTCACTGTTATTCATAAATATCACCACAGGTCATTAAATAGGGTGGGCTGATCTTCATACACTGCTCACACTGCAGTCTAGAACAGGGAGGGTTTCAAAGGCTTTGATATTCCAGACCCAGTCAATCACCCACATTAGCATCACTCAGAAATGGAATGTTGCTCTCTAGCTGTCTTCAAGTGTTCAAAAGATTCTTAAAAAGACCCCCAATGAATGAGTTCCATGCCCCCTCCAACCCAACATCAGGCCAATAACTACAAAGGGATAAGCAAGTCTCTTACTTGCTACAGTCTCCTCCTTCTTGGGAGAAGGTTCTCGCAACGGAGAAGGAGGTGGTTGATGCCAACGGCACAAATACATTTCAGTGGTGGAAAGATACGGCAAATCTTCTATTTCACTGCAGGGGCCTTTGTCCTTTGAATGGCACCCAGGTCCTTTCAATGGAGTCGAAGACTTCAACTGCGTATCCACCAATAATCTTGTTTTCTCTGGAGTCTCCTGACTTCGCAGTTCACGTCTGCTTATTGACTCAGTTAAAGAACTACTGGGTTCCTCCTTTAATGGAGAAGCCTTTGGCGTTTTACATTTGACTCTTGAGAATTCAGCTACCAGCTTCTTCATTGGCGTTTTCCTCTCGGCACTTCCAAACGCAGATTTTCTGCAAAAGTACAGGGAAAGGCTAATAGTAGCAAATGGAAAAAGGCTATAAAGGACCTTAGTTCTTATCATGACAATTACAATTAGAAATTAAGTTAATGTTTTAGTTCTAAGATTTAAAGGAAATTTGCATATGGATTTAAGAGCTTTTTTGAACAAGGTACAAGATTTACTTGAGACAACTATTAGGTTCTCAGAACTTAGAATCGTGCCAAATCAACAAAAATACTATCTTATAGCTCCTGACCAGCTAGAAATAGACTTGATCACACTCAATATTTAGTAAAAACCCTAGTTTGAATAAAGCGCTTATCTCAAAACCAGCAATCAGTAGATTATTGTGAATCAACAACTGTAAGTAATAAGCTCTCTGTCTGAAATCTAACCTCATTATCACTCTATCTGTAAATGTGGAAGAGATGCAACAGCATTAATATTCCTTTACAATAAAGTTGTGGGGTATGCATAAAGTTGTAAAAATGTGCATAAAACATTTTCATTGCTATAAAATAGTGTGGTAATTAACATTTTTAATTACAGATCTCTAAAATTCTTCTATATAAGATTTTTTACCATCAAAATATGTTATATTTTTAAAAACAAAAGACAATGTAAGAAATGATTATGGACATGGTGGTAAAAAGAATGGACTGTAAGGCTAGAAAGGTAAGTAAAATACAATAAATATGTTTCCTTTTCTTTTTCCTATTACATTTTTAATTTCTTTGGCCTACTACTTAGTATTTTCTTTCTGCACTCTGCATAAAGTTGCTTACCCTAAAATAGAATAGTAGAATGGATGTATAAGACACACTGTGTCCTCTTTTTTGCCTTGGCAAAAGGGAGGAACAAAGACATATCATCATTAACGTATCAACTTAAGTACCATGATGCTTATCATTACTAAAAGTAATATTTCCTGCAAGTAATTCTATTTAAGAGACAACTATAAGGGAGGGTGTCGCATTTGACTCATCATTTGGCTCTGAAGTGAAATTCATATCCTCCAATGACTATCTAGGAAAAGCACAAATAGCTAGAACTTTTTTTTAAAAAAAATACCAACAATATACAATTAAATTACAGGCAAAGTAATCCAACATACAAAATTTCCCCATTCAAATTTGGAATGTTAAAAAAATACAAATCAATCCCCTCTATTGTTTGGTTAACAACTCTCAATCAAAATGTAGACATTTTAGCACAACTTATCTAATTTAAAAAAAAGCAAGTGCACAGATTTTAATGCTAGGTGTCTTTACATTCTAATCAAATTCAGTTCAGTTTGAATTACTGAACTGTGGTTTGGAGATCTGGTTTCACATCAATACTCAATACACAATAAATTGAATTTGATTCATCTGCAATATATCCCTAGTCAATATTTTTGATATTAGGTTTAACCACTGATGTTTTCCTTAAAAATTAAAAAAATAATTTTGCAGGATATTAGGATTTGTTTGTAAGTAATAGAGAGCTGTTTTATAGAACAAAAATTTTCACAGTTCATTGATCAAAATCCTAACAGAAGAGGTTTACAAACATAACTGTAGCTTTCTAGTTTTACCGTTTGTGACCCTTCCCATTTCTTCCACATGGGAAATGTTTCAAAGGCAGCGGCTGGGAAGTCTCCAGGAGTTCTTGTGGTGGGCATTCTATAGGCAGCTTCTCTGGTGTATCAGGGTCAACTTTTTCTTCTGTTTCATACTCTTGAAATATTTTGTGTTTGTCACGCTCATTGTCCTTCTTCACCAACTGCATCCTCCTTTCCATACGCTCAATTCGAGCAAGAAGCTAAGAACACAATATTGCAATTTGGTATTAAAGGATATTCCATTAACTAAATACAATATTTGTAATTACTAATACTCACTCAACTTTGACATTATATAGAAACAAAGTGCAACTTCTACAGAAGTTACACTATTTTATTATTGCTAAGTCTACAGGACTTACCAATATATTGTATATATGTAGTCCTCAATTTATGATAATTTAGCCCAAAATTTCCTTTGCTAAGCAATATAGTTAAGTGAGTTTTGACCCATTTTTACAAACGTTTTTGCTACAATTAAGTAAATCACTGCAGTTATGAAGTTATTAAGTTGTGAAGTAACATGGTTGTTAATTGAATTTAGCTTTTCCATTGACTTTGTTGGTCAGGTCACAAAAGATGATGACATGACCCTGGCACATTACAATCATCATAAATACATGCCCCTTGCTGCATATCCAAATTTTAATCATGTGACTACGGGGATGCTGTAAAAGTTGTAAGTGTGAAAAACAGCCATAAGTCACTTTTTTCAGTGCTGTTGTAATTTTGAATGGACACTAAATAAATGGTTGTTAAGTTGAGGACTACTGTAATGATTTGTTTAAAATAATTCTTGAAGTTCTGATGCACTGGCCCATGGTCATGTGCATCAGAACTACTGGGTTCCAAATTATTTATCCCCCCTCCATTTCAGCCACAGCTATAGAGATAAGATTGATTTAAAGTATTGCAAAAAGTTTCTGATAGCTTTCAGGTGGAATAATAGTTTGACAGCCTGGCAGCTTCACACATTTTACAAAAACTCATTTCCCCCACCCATGATCAGACAATGCAAACAATATGTATGAGAAATATTGCTAAGGGAGGGTGTGAGGAACACCAGCAGTTCTTTTCAATGGGCAGTGAAGGTGAAGGAAAAGTGATGGGAGAGGGTAAAAAAAGTGCAGATGGTAATCATGCACTGCAGTCAAGGCCTCAGACCTTTACTTATTGAGCTACCCAGATGTTAATTCTTAAAACTGTACAATTTAAAACCAATTTCCAAAAAGCTTTAAAAATTAGTATTGTAAACAACATGTAAGAGGCTGATGATATGAAGGAGGATATTCCAGTATTTGTATAAGTGAAACTGAAGAGACTCCTCATAGGAAAAAAGAGAATCACTGTAGATCTTAGAAATCTGCAATTAATACAGAAACAACCAAAACAGCAGTTCTAGTATCCACCTAATTCACAAACTTTCATTTAACTATTCTGTGCATATACTAGCTCCTCCTGGTGTGCATGTTTATGATTTGCTCTTTTTTTGCAAGCTTGTGCAGAACCATGTGAACCACTCAGCCTCCTATCATAATATCCTTGACAGCAAAATGGCAGCTGACTCCTTCATATTGGTTAACTTTGCACAGGCCTAAGATTTTTTTACACTGTAATGTTGATAACATAATCTTCTGCTACAAAACAGTAAAATATTGAATAATTATGTTGCTACTTCCTAAAATCAGATGCTAATGCTACTAGCCTACCCCACATGCACTTTGAACATAGACCCTGAAGATTAGGATTAAAGCAGAAGAAAGTATTTCTTTCCTTAGTAATAATGGGTACAGCAGCTGCAAGAACTGGGAAGAGGGGGCTATTTTTAGGCTGCAGACTTGTCATGCATACAGGACAGAATTAAAATCCTTTCTGGCAATTTAGGGACAGGAGGTGGAGGGGGAACAGTTAAAATCATCAAACCATCAAACAACTATTCTAGGACTACAGCTAAGAAATGTACATTATGCACTTCTTCCTTCAGATAGTACTCTTAAAAACAGCAAAATAAACCTTCATTTGCAGCTGATCCACATTATCTCTCCCCAGTCTTCAACCCATACCCCATTTACCCTATTAAGAAAGCAATGGACACTTTCTTATACATCCCCATGCTTGTAGTAGGCATCTCTTTTGTATGGAGAAGTAGAATTCTCCATTAACATCAGCTCTCATACTGCAACTTCATAGGTTATGAATAGCAGAATTTTACATCATTTATATAATTTTACATTGGGGAAGGCAAGATAGGGTATGTAGGGTCTAGACAAAGATAAAAAGGAATACCTTATCAGAGTGGCACATGTTTTTTTCTGTAATATTGATAATTAAAAAGTAGATTGTGCTTTTGAAAAATGAGAGAGGAAGGAAATCCCAAAGGGAGGTAGAAGATAGCACCAAATCTACATCTATAACAATCTTTTAAATGTACCAGTTAAAAGGCCTTCTCTCCCCACATTTGGTGTCCACATGACATAAGCTGCAGTTGGTTGTTTTGCTGTCCCCTTTAAATTAACTCATTTTCTGCCATATACTTCCACCAAAAAACATGCCTGTTGCTTTAAGTTAACCCTGATGTTGCCAAAGGCTTCCTGCCCTGGGGCCATATACCCTTCCTCCTTCTACATAGCTGCAACTCTTTCCAAAATGCTCTCCAAATATTACATATCTGGACTGTACTAGTGTCCTTAATCCTACTATCAGGTAACCAAATCACCCAGTCTTCTTGACTTAACCTCTAGGTTATTAACCCTATAGGTTGCTTAACCTGACATATATCAATATTACAAATCCAATTAATTACCAAGCTAACACTTTATAAACATTATATTGCTGTTTGTTGTACTGATTATACAGAAAGTGAAACTCCATTTTTGAATTTTTAAGAAACTCTTATTTCCTAGCCACAGTTAATCTCTTTCATACTATTCCTATATTTGATTTCCATTTCAGGAGTCAAACTCTTTATCAACTCTTCTATGGCACTAACACATCCTATTGCGACTGGTGGGGGAGGGGGAATATCTCTGTTGAATTCATAATCCTTCTTGTTTCTATCTACAGCAACTCATTCCCAGAACTAGGTGCCGAAATCATATACTTTGCTCTCATCTCTTTACCTATTATCAGTGCCAGTTCGCCCTACCCCATCTTTCTACACATCTACACATTCACTCTCACTAAGCATGTGCATCCTTCATTAGGCGCCATGCTTTACATTAATCCCTCCCACAGTTAACACCAGGATCCCGAAACTAACCCTTCAAAAATCTGTGCACACTCAACATTTATTAACCCTTGAGTTACCACATTTTGCTTGAACATTGCTCAATCCAACTTGAACGTTAGCCCCTTCCACCCCACATTACCGACCACATAACTCACTGTGTCCCTCTCGGCTTTGAGTTCTTCGATCTCCTTTTCCTTGGCCTGCAACTGTTGCTGCTGCTGCTCGATAAGGTCCAACTGGAGCAGCAGGATCTGCTTGAGGCAGGCCGCCTGGCTGGAGTTGCCCCCGCCGGCCCCCATGGGGCTTTTCCGAAGGCTGTTCCCGCCGCCGCTCCCGGTAGTGCTGCTACCACTAGCACTTTTCCTCTTGCCGCTTGGTTCCGATGAAACCGGAGAACCCCCGGATGCCACTGCTGGGGGTGGAGGAGGCTGCCCGGGTTCGGCCGTAGCGGAAGCCGACGACAGTAGCGGTGGAGGCGGCGGCGAGAGAGACGCTGGAGGTCCTCCAGGCCCGGCGTGGGAGCCGCCGCGCTTGCCGTCTTTGGCGGCAGCAGCAGCGGTGTGTCCGGGCAGCACCGCCTGGTACTTGGAGGGGCGGGAGCTGCCGGCGGCATCGCCCACGCCCGCTTGCCGAGTATTGCCTGCCGGGCACGGCGAGGGCACTAGGCCGCCCCAACAGCAGCCGCCGCCGCCTTCCTGTTGCTGTTGTCCAGGAGCCGCAGCCGCCGGAACGATTGCCCGGCCCTTGGGGCCCGTTGCCGCCACGGGGGCCGGCACGGGAATTTGGTTCTGCGGGGGAGGCGGAGGCTGACGGAGATGCGGCGGCGGCTCCTCCTCTTCCTTCGGGCCAGGCTCCAGCAAGCCCGGCCCCGTCGTTGTCGTTGTCGCGGTTGCTTTGTAGACGGTCGATCTCATGGCGATGCAGCACCTTCAGTCTCCAGATTCTGCCGCGACGTCGCCTCCGCCTCCCCCTTCTCCTCTCCGCTGCCGGTCCAAATTCCCCACCTGGACCCCTCCTGGGGCGCCGCCGTCGTCGCCACCCGCCCCACCAAGACCCATCGCCTCCCTTTCTTCCTACACTACCTTCCCCCGGCCGTTTCTCCCGAATCACCAACCTTCACAGCTCCCTGCCGCTAGTGCAAGAACCATCTCTTTGATTTTCTTACTCTTCTTTTTCCAGACTAAGGGAGTGCCAGCCCTGCTGATGTAGGAAAAGCAAAGCAGGGGCCCTGCTGGCTCTCCAGAATAGAGGGGCCGCTTCCTAATAAATGCGGCTGATCCGCTTAGATCAGTCTTAGTTTCTTCTGCAAGGAATGGTTGGGGGAGGGGTGCGTTTGCTTCACCCTTTCCTCCCCCCAAAGGTTCCCTTGGAAGGAGGAACGTGAAAGGGGTGGCTTTTGGTTTCTTTCCTTCTAACGGACACAGTGGTGCCCAATGGGTATTGGGGAGGGTACAGATCGGGAAAGGGGATTACGTCTTTCCTCATCCAGCAAAACTGGTAAGAGAAAGCTTGTGGGCTGACCAACCAAGCTGCCAAATCCCCTCTTTCTAGCGGACCCTCCTCACTGGGAAGAAACCTCCCTCAAGAACGTGGGAAAGGTTACCGGCGTGCCACAATCTACAGGAGGAGCGGTATACAACACACGGTGTTGTGTCTTGTACATTGGAAATGGGAAGCTAACTGATTTCCTGCATAGTATCTCGCTCGCCTATCCACTTTTCCCCGAGCCTTTCTGGAAATAAGGTGGCCCCATATTCAGAAAAAGAGCGCTGTGGAAATTAAGGGCTTCCTTCCACCTACTCTTTATTAATAAAACGAGTAGGGTGGACAAAGTGTTACGGAAAGGACTACTTTTACAAGCAAGTTAAGGACTCCTGTCAGTCTTAGCGAGAGTGGGGTGGGGGCTACATATAGATGGGCTTCTTTTGCAAGGAGCAGGGGCTTAAGAAAACATTCCCTCCTCAAATACTT